ATCCGACCATTCACAAACAAAATGCCATTCTGCAGATTTACCTCCAGAAGGTCCCCGCGGCCCTTGGACGCCACCCGGAACAGGCGCGGCACCAGCTCCGTCAGCTCCAGCCCCAGGTCCTGCGCGATGCGGCCCACGAAGGTGCCGTGTTTGGCCTCCTCGGAGACCGAGTAATGGAGCTGGCCGCTCCCTGCCTCCCAGGCAGCGAGGAGCAGAAGCGAGAGCAGCAGACGCTGGGATCCCTGGTCACCAGGTCTGGCAGTTAAAGTCATGTCTCTCTTTTGATTAGTAAAACAAAATTTCATAGCCAAATGCAGTTGTTTTAAGACCTTTTTCTTGAGATCTTCCTGTCGAAGTTCCAGCTAACCTTACAATATGGGTGAATCGGGAGTCTTTAAAGCACCGGAACAGTGGAGTTTTCTTTCTGATCTTCAGATAATGACTTTCTTCTGTTAAAAAAATATACTCTTCCTGGAGAACAGCGGCATCCTGTGGCTCAAAGTGTAAGTGCTATTGAATTATCTTCTAGGTGCTTTCTGAGAACCTTTACATTTTTGTGTATGTCCTTCTTCAGGGGCTTTAAAAAAGTCTTTTGTATTTCATAGGACCAGTGGAGTATTAAAAGTGGTTTTGTTTTACAATTAGAATTCCATGAAGTTTTTCAGATTGGGGATACACATCTAAGAGAATGTACTGCTTCTCTACATGAACTATCATGTATAACGATTTGAATACATTTGTAGAATGTTGGTGATGGGGTTCTTTTTCAGTTTTAAGAAGAAATCATTTTGAATGACGTCTTATCAAGTCTATTCCTAGAAGTCTGAAATTTTTCATTGCTTAATCTTTTTACTGTGTTAAAATGTCCTAAACATAAGTTCTGATTATACAGATGAAAACTCAATATAGCAACCTCAGCACAATGGAATTTCAACTAAAAGCCAATATGCTACTATCCCTCCTTTTTTTATTTCTTGTGACATTAATGAGTTTTTCCAGCATAGGCTCCTGCAATCTCTAAGCAAGTCTGTATATTTTCTCTCACCTTAGAGTTTCTTTCCAGTATCTGTATCTTCTTTTTTGTTGGTGGTGGTGGTGGTCATGGGCCTGAACTCTGGTCCTGGGAACTGTCCCTCAGCTCTTCAGTCACGGCTAGCGCTCTACCACTTGATCCACAGCACCACGTCTGGCTTTTTCTTCTTATGTGGTGCTGAGAAATGGAATCCAGCACCTCATGCATGCAAGGCAATCACTCTACCACTGAGCCACCTTCCCAGCCCCCCCAATCTTCAAAAGGTGAATAAATGCCATTTCCATTCTGTAGAACAAATTCACTCTGAATTGTATCCATTGTTTATCTTGTAAAGATAGTCCTTTTCCATTCAGAAATGCCAGAAATTTCAATTACATCTGTCTATTTACAAATTTTTCTCAGAACTAATTTGAAGAAACTAGGATACGAAGTTTATTCCAATCCTCATTCACTTAATCGAATTTACTGCTTTTAGCCAAAGTACATAAACATTTTCATAAAAACTTTTGTCAATGGCAGTAAACTTCATCAGTATTGCCTTAAGAAAAAAGTTGTAATTATTCTCAAGAATATAAGAAACAAATTAGCTTACATCTGAGTACTTCCAGTAAAATAGAAGCTATTTAGAAAATCCCAAATTTCCCTACTAATAAACCACTGTATATGGATAGGCAAGAGTATCTTAGATTTTATATAAAAGTAAGTTTCAGTCTTCTTTTGAACACTTTTTAAGACAGTGATTTAATTATAATAAGTCTATGCTTACATTTGTAGTTCTAGTTACTTGTAATTATTTCTATGATGGAAGATGTAAGTCTTAAGCCACCATAGTGCATAAAATAATAACAGGAAAAATTTTAGCCCAGGGAGTTAACTAAATTCACAGAGATAGTAACAAAGAAATTCTTTTTTAAAATTCCTCTGTGTTTTCTGATTGAAATAATTTGGTCTCTTTGGAAATGACTCTGAAGTGAAATGAATGTACATGAAACTTCTGTGTTAAGAATTCTGTCACCACCGGGTGCGGGTAGCTCACACCTGTAATCTTAGCTACTCAGGAGGCTAAGATCTGAGGATCATGGTCCAAAGCCAGTTCAGGCAGGAAAGTCCTTAAGACTATTATCTCCAATTAACCACCAGAAAACTGGAAGCAGTGCTGTGGCTCTAGTGGTAAAGCATTAACCTTGAGATGAAAAGCTGAAGGACAGCGCCCAGGCCTAGAGGTCAGGCCCCATGACCAACATCAACAACAACAAAAAAAGACTTCTGTCACCAATTAAGTACATACAAAAGGCAATTTGTCAGCTGGGCACTGGTGACTCAGCCTGTAATCTTGCCTACTCATGAGACAGTTTGAAGTCAACCCAGGCAGAAAAGTTCTGGGAGATGCTTATCTCCAACTAACCACTCAAAAACCTGAAGTGGCACTGTGGCTCAAGTAATAGAGTGCTAACCTTTAGTATAAAGAGGCTTAGGGATAGCACCTAAGCCCTGAGTTCAAGCCCCACCTTGGACAAAAAATACAATTCATCAAGTTCCAAATTCTGAGGATTTCATATAGCTAATAATTATAGTATCAAAATAACCTATGTGTTAGTTATTCATCTCAAAATATGCTAGTAAGTAAGGTGTGGTAGCTTGTAATACTGGGATTTTGTGAGGCAGAGATCAGCCTGGGTTATATAGCAAGTCCCTCCAAAAGGAAGGAAAAATAAAAATAACTAAAACAGGAACATGCAAAAGAGAGCCAAGTAACATAAACAATTAAATTGACAAAATGTAACTTGCTATTAAATCAATAGCTCAGATTTAGAAATACTTCTGAATAAAATCAGCTCTTATTACAGAAAAAGAAGAAATTTTAAAATAGTACTAAATATGCAAAGATAGGACTGGAAATATAGCTCAATGGGAGAGCATGTATACTATGTATTCGATCCTTGGTTCAGTCCCCAACACAACAATAGCCAACAATTTTTTAAAACAAAAAAGATACTCAGGGAATACCTCTAGCATCTGTGCTTAAAACATATCATTCATAAACCTATTAGTCTATTTTCAAGTGAAGTGTTTACTCTTCATTACTTTAAAGAGCTATAGTAATTTCTAACAGCTGGAGTCTAGACAGGCCAATGAAAGCATCAAAACTGAAAACATGCTTCAATTCCTGCCCCGATGATCTTGGTGGCATTGCATAAAAATGCCAAAATTTCTTAGAAGTTATTTGGAAACACACACTGAAAAACATATTCAATCTTTTATGACAAAAAGGAAAGAGACCTCGAAGTCAAAGCAGACACTCTGAAAACATTACAGGATGGAATAGGATAAAGCCTAGGTCTTGTTGGCACAGGCCGAAATTTTCTTAATAGAGACCCAGAAACACAACAAATCAAAGAAAGATTGGACAAATGGGATTTCATGAAACTGCAGAGCTTCTGCATGACAAAGGACATAGCTAGCAAGATCAATAGAAAGCCCATGGATTGGGAGAAGATCTTCACTAGCCATACAACAGACAAGGATCTTATATTTAAAATATACCTGGAACTCAAAAAATTAAATCCCCCAACAACAAATCTTCAAAGAGGTCTGGGAAGGTGGCTCAGTGGTAGAGCACTTGCCTTGCATGCTCAAGGCCCTGGGTTCGATTCCTCAGCACCACATAAGCAAAAAGAAAAAAGCCGGAAGTGGCGCTGTGGCTCAAGTGGTAGAGCACTAG